ACTTTGAACACAAAGAAGTGGCATCGCTTTGCCCCATGGTGTATCTTTGGGGTTTCTGAGACAGTGTTCAAGGGTTTGGATGTGTCCATCACTGCCATCCTCAGTCCTTGAGTCTGGTGCTTCTGTTTTACTGATGCTTATGGTCCTTTCTTTTCTGTGAAAAGAAGACCATTTAACATTTCTTGTAAGTCTTGTTTGTGGTTGTGAACTCCTTTAGTTTTTGCTTGTCTGGAAAACTCTATCTTTCCTTCAGTTCTGAATGATAACCTTGCCAGATATAGTATTTGAGGTTGTAGTTTCTTTTCTTTTGGCACTTCGAATATTTCCTGCCACATCCTTCTAGCCTGTAAGGTTGCTTCTGAGAAAGCAGATGATAGCCTTATGGAGTTTCCCTTGTAAGTAACTTGTTTCATTCTTGCTGCCTTTTAAAATGCCTCTTTATAATTAACTTTTGCCATTTTAATTATAATATGTCTTGATGTGGGCCTCATCTTACTGGATCTCATTTTGCTAGTGTCGTTGGGTGAGTTTTACTATTCTGTCTTCCAGGTCACTAATCTGTTCTTCTGTCCTAACTAATCTAGCGTCGATTCCTTCTAATGTATTCTTCACTTCAGTTATTGTATTCTTTATCTCTGATTCTTTATTACATTTTTTATCTGTTGAGGGGCTGAGTTCCTCTATTCTACTCTCAAGTTGTTGAACATCCTTATACTGTTTCTTTGAATTTCTTATCAGGCAATTCTTTATTCCTCTTTCCTTATGGTTTTTCTTGTTCCTTCGTTTGGGGCATATTCTTCTGTCTCCCCATTTTTTTTCTTTCTGTGTTCATTCCTGTAGTTATATGATATAGCCATCTGTCCTCGTCTTGAAAAAGTGGTCTCTGTGAAGACTGTGTTTTGGAGAGTTTTGGCAGGTCAGCTGTAGTAGGGGTAGGCATGTGCAGTGTTTAGTGTGTTGGCTGGCCTGAAGAAGTGGGTTCTAGGTGACACAACCTGGTGTACGCACTCTTTCTTGCCCCTCTGATCTAGGTGGGGCTGCCTGTTGTGGGCAGGGCTGCTTGGTATGCGCTTGGCATTCCCTGTTGCTTTATCTGTTGCCAGAGCAGGGTCTGAACTGGACTGCTTTGAGTGTTAGTGTCTCATCACCTTTCTAGCTCAGCCCTTCCTCAGGGCGAGGCAGCCTTGTGCTGATGCACAGTCACACTGTCTCGGCAGTGCAGCTCCATGGTATGCATCAGTGCCTCACTAACTCTGCATGGGGCAGCCCTGAATACGGGTATCACAATGTTTCTCTCTTTCTCTCTCTCTCTCTCTCTCTCTCTCTCTCTCTCTCTCTCTCTCTCTCTCTCTCTCTCTCTCCGCCTCTCTTGCTTGTTGTGCAGAAGCTGTTCAATGGGCTCTCAGTTGTCTCTCAGGAGGACCTGCTCTAAATGTAGGTGTAGGTGTTTGCTGTGTTCTGGGGAGGGGGATTAGCTCAGCATCCACCTACAGTGCCATCTTAGACCTGCTTTAGATTGCTTTATTTTTACCACTCCCAACACACACACATACACACACACACACACACACACACACACACACACAGCCCTCCTTTGCTTAAATTTTACTATTGTCTGATGACAATTAAAACACACACAGTCTACCAATTGGCTAAGACCAGTATAATAATTCCCCTTCTCTCATTTTTGGCAATTCTTAGGCAAAGGGATTATTTTAGTTCATGATTTTTATTGTTTGATTAACATAGAAACAGCCAGGTAAGAAGTTGAAAAATATAGTGCAGTTAGTGATAATTATATTGCTAGTATTAGTCAATTAATTTAAATGTATGAAAAAGTCATCATAAAAATACACGGGAGGTACTAAAAATTTTTAAAGCCCATCAGAACTGATACTCAATTAGTGTCTTGTATAAATTAACTGTATAAGATTTAAAATAGAAAAATTTTACACATTTTTTGTGATTATCATAAAAAACAAGGATGGTTAATTTTTTACTTAATTCAACTCCCAGTATGAAAGGATATCATTTCAACAAATTAATATTAATAAAGGATTATTATTATGCAAATTATAAATTGAAGAATAATTAGAATTAATGAAAGGTTATTTAGATAACATTTTAGATCAACAATAATTACTCAAAAGGGAAAAAAGCAAGTGTTTGATCCATATTGATGATTTTTTCCTAATTCCACATTACACTAGATTCTATTGAGTCTACTTAAAAATGTCAAATGTGTTTTTATTCATAGAATATTGCAGTTTTTAAATCATCAAGCAAATGTTTACAGAGAATAAGACACTTTTTCTCTGGGCAATGGGGATTTATAAAGCAATATATAAAACAGACAAGCACTTATTTTGTTGGAGTTGATTTTCTAGTCTTATTACAATTTGTAATACATGTAATATTTGACTTAAATATAAATTCTAAAGTTCATTTAAATAATAGTTGTGTTTTATTGTAAATAATACTCTGCTTTTGTAAATTGATAAAATTATTTTTGAGTTAAAAGGACCATAGACATTAGGTCAAATTCCAATAAATGGAAGTGAATGAACTCTTTTTACTCCAGCCTCTGTGTGCTACTTACAGTGACAGGGAGTTAGTCCATTTTCTGGGGTTCGGTATTCCTTTCTGGGTTGACTCTCCTGCTAGCTCATTGTCCTCTATGTGAAGTCAATGTCTTCCTCTCAGGAACTTCAATCTGTTTACCCTGATTTTGTTTTCTACGAGAGATACTCAAAATAAATCACATTCTCCCTAATAGTAAGTCTTAATAATTTTTGCGCCACCGTCATGTTCCTCATTAAGGCTTTTTTAATGCCACTTCTTAAAAGACAAAAGTTAGTCATTTGACTTTTACCTAACTCCAATAATTATTTTTAATGCGTGAGGTAAAATAACTGATTAATTCTAAAAAAGAAAAAAAAAAACAGTAGCACCATAGCACCATCTGTTGTTATAAAATGCCATTGCAGTCTCCTTAATGGATGTTAACACTTGAACAGGTGCTACTACATAGCCACCAAAATGACTACAGTGAAAAAGGCTGACAAAATCATGTTGGTGTGAATGTGCTGTAACCAGAACTCTCACATAATGCTGGTGGGAGTGTAGGTACTCTGCAATCCTTTTGAAAAACTGTTTGGAAGTCGCTCCTATCATTAAACATTGTCTTACTCTATAATCCAACTATAATTTTCTGGTAAAAGCTCAAAGTGTAATATGCAGACCAAAAGATACATACAACAATTTTGCACAAAGCAACAATTTTAGTAATATCTAAAACTAAAAATAACCTGAATGTCCACCAACAAAATAATGGATAAATAAATCATGCCATAGTAATACAATACATTAGTATTCCACAATCATACTGAAGCACCCATTAGTGGAAGCAAAAAAATATGCAGGAATCTCACAAATAAAAGGCTGAGCTAAAGATGCCAGACACAAAAGAGTACCATTCCATTTCTATTACATTTACAATCAGACAGAGTGTTCGTGGTGTTAGAAATCCAGACAGTGTTCACCTTGGGGAAAGGAAAAAGGAGGTAGTGATTGGGTGTGCACATAGGGCCTTCTGAAGTGCTGTTACTGTTCTACTTCTTGATTTGGGCATGGGTGTGTACAGCTGGTGATAATTCACTGAGCTGTAACTTATGATCTGAGCATCTTCTGTACATATATTGTACTCAAGTAAAAAAAAATTTAGAAAAATACTAACTAGAATAAGTTAACATAAAAAATATATTAGAAGATGATTTAACAGTATAATTCCAATTCTAAAAACTTCAGTTTAGTAATAAATTCTTATAATTGTTGTTGTTTTTATTTATGAGATAAATATTTATTACCTACTAGTTACTAGGTACACATACTGGTTAAACAGAAGCCAGGTCACTGCAGAGATGTGGAACTGGAAAATAGTAAAAACTGTGTCTTCTTTAACAAAAGAGAAGAGTCCAGTCAGTGATACATTTAATAAATAATACAAAGTATCACAAAAAATAATGAAATAGAATTAAAGGGTTTTAATCAAGTTTTATTACATTAGTTGCATATAATTTCAGTGCTAACAAAATACAGGAAAGCATCTCTGTAGAACTGACTTGAAAGAATGTTGAAAATCATTTTTAATTAGCATTGTGGCTATTTAAATATTTGTTTAAATTGCTTGAAAATATATCTTTTTCTTTTGGATAAGAAAAGCATTTTCCACCCACTCCCAACCACATGTTCATGTGTCTACACACTACACAGCCACTTTTTGTTTACAGGTCAAATTAACACCAACAAATGGCATTGATATTTGTTAATGCTTAAAAACATACTTCCTGATTTCTATCAACCTCATTAACATCATCCAAAAGATGTAACAACTCATGATGCCCTTCTGGGTTTAATGCTTCAACCTCTGGTTATCAATCCTATCTGCACACTTTTTGAAAAATATTGATTTATGGCCCACCCTCGATGATTCTGATTTGGTGGGACTGCAGTGAGTTAGTTGTAAGTACCATAACACTAATTTAAATCTGTCAGTTACCAAGAATTCTAAATAACAGAATTCAAATTTGTAAGTTTCTTACTATTTATATTATTTTACTTTTCTGAATATTCTCCAGTATTTAGGCAGACAGCAGGCAGAAGTAGATGTTTATTAAAGTATTTAATAGAGTGTTTTTATAAGATTACTGTAAAAAATAGAAAACTAATTTATTAAACTTAAAATAGAGATAACACATTTAAAATATGACTTCAAAATCAAAATGATTTAAAGAGAAAATGAAATGAAAATAATTTTACACAATATAAAAAGAAAACATGGTAGTAAATGTATTTAACATACTCTCACCATATAGAATGTCTTTTCCTTAAAACATACAGAATTTATGTATTAAAGACTAAAACTTTGGAATAACAAATGATTTATTCACATTTGGTAACATTTTAATAAATAACAAAAGGTTTCCAACATAAATCAAAATATTGGATTTACTTTGTATGGAAACTGCATTATTTAAAATCTCACAAATATTGAGATTCTCCATACTGAATTGTTAAATCTAAATGTTGTTTTGGGGGTAAAATTCGTTATCATTATAATAGCGGCACTGGTCATTAAGTAATTCTTGATAGTTGTTGCAGTAAATGTTAGCAGTTTTTAGTCATGAAATCATCTATAGTACCAAGGTAGATATAGATTCAGCTATGGGAGGAATGATAGTGGATATTAAAATTTAATTTGCAAGCATCCTAACTATAGTTGCAATGGCAGAGGTCATTATGAATTTGCCATTTCTGTCAAGTGTGAGCAATGATGTGACATATTGGATTTACATTTAATAGAGGTAGCATTTGGTGCAGATGAATAAGGAATGGATGGCACTGAATGGCATGTCAGTAGAAGTTACAGAGCTTATAGATTCAGTGATGAGGTTGAAGAGTTTAGTAAAGTGTTGTGTGTTGCAGTAGTAAGTACAGTAGAAATGATGGTGCTGTAGGAATGATGATGCATAGAAATGGTACTATGACTGCAGGATCAGTCTCTACTGTAAAATAAGGTACTAACAATGCTTTGTTGGTGTAATGCTGTTGTGGCTATGGAGTCATTTGAAGGGGCAGTAGAATTGCTACCTGCGTTGTGATAATAGATTACTTAGAAGGTGATGTTAATTTTCTATTAATTGGTAATGATTATGAATATTATAAATACAGCTGAAGTCATTATGGTGTTTGATTGGGAAGCCAGTTGAGTTGGTAGCATCCGTGTTGATTTTATTTTTACCTGAGATGGTGGCAGTGGAGGTTGAAGATGCTTAACTTGCATAAGAAAATAGACTAAATTCAGTCACTAAGGTGTATGTACCTATTGAGGGTGATGTATATTCGACGGAAGAATAGCAGTCTCTGGAGACTCAGTTCAACTGATACTATTGTAGGTTCATTTGAAATAAGAATTTTTCAAATTTGAGTTGAATTTGTTGAATGATTTATAGTTGTAGTGTCAGCTGGAGAGAGGGGTTGCCATTGTGGATGAGAAAGAGTTGACCTGGTATTGTAATCTCATAATGAGAGTCTGTTAAGTAACTATAGTTATAGATTCAGTAAACATGCACATGGTATTCCTGGTTAGGTGTAAGACAAAAGATAACTGCAGTTGTAGTGATGCTGACAGTGGAAAGGACAATGCTTAGAGTTTACAGTGGTAGGTTCACATAAACATGAGCCCACAGTTGGGCTAGGCAGTTCAGATGAAGTGGCAGCTGCAGCTGTGGCTCCTGTAGAAGCTACAGTGGTGGATGTTGTGGCTACAGGCTCAGTGGTAGTACTGGTAGGTGTTGTAGGTGCTTCTGTGAAAGTGGTCGCTGCTGTTGTGGTTGGGGATTCTGTAGGACCTATCTACTGCCCATTGTGGTTGGAGCATCAGTAATAGTGCTGGCAGTGGTGGTAGGTGGTTCTGTGGAATGAGTAGTTCCTGTTGTGGATGTGGATCCAGTAGAGGCCTCAGTTGTTACCGTTCTGGTTGTAGATTCAGTGGTAGTACTGGCCGCTGTGGTAGGTGGTTCTGTGGAAGTGGTGGCTAGTGTTGTGGTTGTGGGTTCTGTAGAACCCACAGTAGTAGACGTTGTAGTGGGAAGTTGTGTAACAACAGATGCATTATTATTTTTCCCATTATATACCAGACACACTATGAGTACTCCAATTGTTGTTGTTATCACACAGGCTAAGAGACAAGCCAGGAAGATTTTCCACAAAGACCAGTCACTGAAGACATTGCAAGTCTCCTGGAAAGAATTTATATAAAGTTACTTGAGATGAAATAAAATGTTTAAAAAAATTAGTGCCATTGATAATCTTTCATATATATATATAAAAACACATATACACATATTACTTCACTGTAAAAAGTATAAGCATAAAACACTCTCTTAATAGCATCTAATAATAAATACTGACTCAAACATAAGTTTTCAATTAGAAAGGACTTGTTCCTTATACTATCTTTAATATAAGAACGTAGAAATTTCCACTGACCTCTAACACTTTCTATTCATATATCTGTATCTCAAACTAAAAAAAAAAAAAAGGCTTCTTAGAAACTCTTTGTTCCTTCCACTATCATAGAAGTATCTGTATATGTATCTGTATAGAAGTAGCTGCACACAGTAATCTGAATGACCCAAAAGATCAGCTGATTAAATTTTCCTCTCCTTCTGGCTTGTTGACTATCAGAAATTTGGCTGCCTTGGAGTCTTCATTCTAACTGGGTTAATTCATGTCTTATGAAATTTTCTGGCTAACTTTTATACTGGTTACTATTTGGCAGCATGAAATTCAGAGTGTGAAAACATTTGTTAAAATCCAGTTTATCATCCCAGAGGCTATTTCCACTGGGTAAGATGCTCACCTCCTTAATCCTATTCTTTCACTCACAAAATTCTATGTGACAAGATTAGAATAAGGATTAATGTCAATTAAATTAGTTTTTAAACTCTAAAATGCCATATATAAACAAATTACATATATAAATATATATGTAATTTATGTACATAAGGTATATATTTATCTATATATGTAATTTATAATTGTAGAGGAAATATTGCATAGTGTAAAATATGTAAGTCTTCAGACCAGAGTCTTGAATTTAAATCCCTTACCATTAATATTCTGAAAAAATTTCTTGTCTAATTCTCAACTTGCCTTATATCAAAAGGAGGATAACCTCAACACAAGAGGTAGATATAATTGTGTTGAGAAAATTAAAATAAGAAATATCCTCCATAATTAGATTCTTGCAGGAGGCACTGCATTGTAGTAATTAAGAGCACAGGCATGAAGTCTAACGAATTTAGGTTTAAATTTTTACTCCAGCTTTCACTAGATGGATGATGACATTTGGAAATTTGCATTATCTTGCACACCCTCGATTTTCTCATGTGGATAGCATTACTTATTGCATAGGATTGCTGTAAATAGTAAAAAAGGAAATAATATGGGTAATGTTTCTCTATACTTACTAAGTATTCAATAAAAACATTTGATTTCAGTAATTATCTCATTATTATCCCTTTCCTTATGACTGAAAGAAACAAACACAGAGCAGATGTCTTTGGAGCATGTAGAGTAGATCTTAAATGTCCCCAAATATGGAAGACGATCTTAGACAGTAAGCCTCAGTCTGGGTGTTGAGAGCAGCACCCACTAGGCAATCAGAAGCACTGCAGAGGCCTTGGGTACTACGGTCAAGGGAATTCAAGGCACCAACTAAGAGAGCCCAAAGACAAATGGCACCGCCTGCCCCATGTCATCCGGGCCTTAGAAAGAAGCCAAAGGGTGGGGAGAGGAAGAACCACACATCTCAGATAAGGGAGGTAATTACCCTCATTTTTGGTTTGACTATTAAAAAGAGGAGCAAAATTAATAGAAACACACCTTAACCTGACTTCAGACCTGTGCTCCAGTGCTAATACTGCCACTACCTAGCTGTGTGAATTTTTATAAACAAAAACTTCCTAGGCTGCATTGTTTTCCATCTGTCTCTAAGTAAAGGCATCTAAAATAACTTTCAGCTCTCTGACTGGTCTGCCTTGTTCGAGGTCAGGAGATGTATTCTCTAAGTAAGTCTTGTCTATCAAAAGAATCCTTCCACACTGGCTCTTGACGTAAAGATTATATCCGCTCTATTTTCTCAGTCTCTCTGAACTATCTCTACAACAGGAGTAACCAGAGTAAGAGCGTAGATCAGAGCTAGAAGCACTGAACCAAACCTCCAAGCCAATCAGTCAAAGTTAAGTTTTCACCTGGGAGGGAAAGACTCAGAGATTAGAATTTATGGTGAGAAAAACAGAATAATAAGAAAAAAAAAAGTCCTGAACACAGGAAATCTGCTTCTAGGCACCAAACCAAGGTGGTACTAAATGGTTTCTAAGTCAAGGTTGAAAACACATGAGTTCACAACCAGGAGGGCTAATGGAAGGCCCACAGTGTCAGGAAGGGAAGGAGAGTGAGGCAGATCACCCACGGACAAGGACCACAGGGTCTTAACACATGACTTCATCTTCTACCTGGCAAGGGTTACAATGTCATTCACTGCCAGTGCATTTGCTATCATCACCCACTCAGTTGTCTTAAAAAAAGGACCTCAAAACTTATTTCCTTTAACCCTTATATATATTTTTTAAATTCTGTATGTTTTTGTCTTTCCATCATGACCATTAACTCCTTAAGTGAAAAGCCCCATTAATCTCTCTTTCTTGCATTTCCTCTCAGTGTCTTGACATTTTCAAAAGATGCTGCAGATTTTCAAAAGAACAATGTTAATGTTAATTGACTGAATGTTTTCTTCCAAAATATTAGATCAAGAGCATTTCCATGTGCATTACATCATAACCAGAGAAACAGTGTTGTTCTAAACATTACCTGATAATGCTGTAATTCTCTGTTAGGAAATTCTGAGCATCCAAGGGTCCCTGTATTTGTGCAGACACTGGTTAAATTGGTACCAACATCACTAGTTACATCAGTTGATGGTGGAAACTGACATGCTGAACTGTGAGCTTCATGGCTTCTTGTGCTCAGAAACAGCTTTATATAGAAAAGAATAGGAAAAAATGGCTAAAGTAATATAACATAAAGTAATATAATTCTGATAAACATAAATTAGATTGTGACATATTATGACATATTTGATCAAATAAAGTCATCTGAAACCTGACTGAAAAAATACATGAATACATGTATCACATTTCTTCTCCAAACAAGGATTCTAAATAGATCATTATAAGTTACAGTTAATTATGTTACATAATTACTGATGTTAAAATCTAAGAATAAGCATTATCTTTTATACTCATCATATTTAATGCATTTGTTAAATATCATTATGTGGCAAGCTGGTATAAGGAGACTATATAAGAAAAAACATCTCACAGTGAAACTTCTAGAGGCCTCAAGGCTTATTAAGAATAATTTTTGGGGGGTCATATCAAAATGAGAAAAACAAGATCTAAAGAGTTGAAGGAGATTCTGGATATAGTAAATTGCAGTAAGCCACTTCTCCCATTGCAATCAATCAATCAATCAATCAATATGTAAGTAAAAATAATTGAAGAGCTTTGAAAGAAATTAAAATTAAGTTATTTAAAATTTAAAAGAGGGAAGAGCTTTACCAAAGTGATCTAACAATCATAGGCCATCTATTGGTTCTGAGTATAAGCTGAAGTTCTGACCACCAAAATAAGTCAGCGAAACTTCGGTTTTCATTTGTGGCAGATAACACAGATTGGAAAACAGAGGAGCCCCAACCACGAGGCCTTTGTAATATTCGGGGCTAGCTCGGGAGGCTGGAGGCCTGGAATGGGAAGTCAGAGGAAAATCTCTAGCAGTATCATGTCATTACGAGATAAAATCCTGCTAGAAGAAAGGGACTTAACACAACACACACTGATTCCGCCCTGAGGACATTTGTCAGATTTTGAAGCTGCCTGGCATAGTAAACTAAAGACTTGAGCTTGAAACCTCCTGAAGTCAACCTCCCAAAAATAGGTACAAATATTCTAAACAAAAGAATAGCAAATTAAACCCAAAAATATATAAAAATGTTAAAAAACCATGACCAAGTGAGGTCTACCCCAAGAATATAATTTTGTTTAACATTCAGAACAGTTAATATTTTCACCACATGGTTCCTATAGCCTTCATATCACTGAGCCATCCCTTTTTCAACAGAATTAGGGGTTTGGAGAAACATGGCGGAGTGAGAGACATCTCCGGATCTCTCCCCTTGAAAAAACAATAAGCTGAACATCTAAAACTCAGCAAAAAACACCCAAACTGCACACCAGCACATCTGAGTGTGGAATCTGCACATAAGAGCTACCACAGATCAGAACCCCCAGTATTGGGCGGTGGACTGGGAGAAACAAAGAAGCTGCCTTCACAGCCGGAGCTCCCTGTAGGAGGAGGGGGAAGGGAGAAGGTATTGTGACTTCCCCGAACAGCCCTGCCTGGGAGTGCTGTGAGTTCCACCCAGCTGGCAGCAGTGCCCAGCCATCAGGGCAGAAAGCAGAGAAGGAGGAAGGGACCATAGAGAAACAACAGTTGATTTTTGCCGGCTGCCATTGCAAAACTGAAGCTGAGCTGCAGCCCTCAACTCCTAATGCAGAGGGCCCCTCCCCCAATACCCTCCGAGACCAACTACACAGAGCCCCAGGGGAATCTGAGGAAACGCTGCTGAGATTGTCGCTGACACTGACAGGGACTGAAACTGAGGGTGCAAGTGTTATTAAATATTTACCCAAAAATAAAAAGGCATTTTTAAGACTTTACATAAAGCAGGGATCCAAGAGGCTTAGAAGCCACTGACTAGAAACCAAAAGAAAAGCACCTTCTTTGCAGCAGGCTAAAAAGACACCTTTATATAATAAATCGTCTTTCTGGAAAAAGCAGAATACACTTCTGTTAATGCCTAGGCAGAGAAACAGTCCATTGAACACCATGAACAACCAAGGTGACAAGGCATCTCAGAAAGAAAGAGAAAAATCTCCAGAAAATAAGCTTACAGACATAGAAATATGCAACTTAAATGACAGAGAATTCAGGATGGTACTTCTGAAAAAACTCAGTGAGTTCCAAAACGAGTCATATCAACAATTTCAAGAATTGAAAAAACAACTAGATGCACAGAGCAAGGAGACTGAAACCCTAAAAAAGAACCAAAGAGACCTTGTGGAGATAAAAAACACACTGCAAGGTTGAAAAATGAAATAGCAAGCTGGAAAATAGAGTCAACCAAATGGAGGAAAAGATCAGTGATATCAAAGACAGAAAGCTAGAAATAAATCAGAAGGAAGAGAGAGAAATCGAAGAATGAAAAATAATGAAAGAGAAATACAAGAACTAGCTGATATCATCAGGAGAGGAAACATTAGAATAATTGGCATTTTCGAAGGCAAGGAAAAGAAGCAGGGACTAGAAAGCATTTTCAGACAAATAGTGGACAAGAATTTCCCATATCTAAGGAATGAGCTGGAGCTTGGAATTCAAGAAGTCTATAGGACACCCAATTATCTCAACCCGAAAAGGCCTTCATCAAGACACACTGTATTAAAATTATCAAAAATTAGCAACAAAGATAGAATTCTTAGGGCAGCCAGGGAGAAGTAAATGGTAACTTATAAAGGAAAACCCATTAGATTATCCTTGGATTTCTCAGCACAAACCTTACAAGCCAGAAAGGAATGGAATAAAGTATTTAAACTATTAAGTGAAAGGAACTACCAGCCTAGAATAACGTATCCAGCTAAGCTCTCCTTTATATATAAAGGAGAAATTAAGACCTTTCTAGACATACAAAAATTGAGGAAATTCTCCACTACGAGGCCTACACTACAAGAAATACTGAAAGGGGTCAGCTCGCCTAAAACAAAATGACAAAAAAACAAAACAAAACAATTAGGAGTAAAGTGACTATCAAGCAAATAGAAGCAGAGGAATGCAATCCTTACTAAGAACAGGGCATTATAAGCTTAAATAATAATAAGAGAATTGCTATAGCAAGATAGCAATGAACGTACAGACT